AATGCTAATTTATATCAGCTACTGAACGTGCTGAAAGAGGACGCAGATTTACAAACAGTGGTTGTTACTCAACCAAAATGTTGTTACTACTAACTTTTGTTGTTGTTGTTACTAAATCAAACGCACCCCCCGCAAAACGATGTGCACAGACAACTATTATGAAAAATTCGTGGATCACATACGTAACTGACCAACTCCTCAAAAACAAAATCTCCGTAGGTCACTGCTTCGAAAAATTAAGGGTTTAGCTAAGAAATATAAGAAATGATTTACATGTCATTTAGCTGATTATACTAATAGTAGATTTTCTGTGATATTTTATAATTCTTAGATTATAAGTGAATTATTCATATATGACGTTTTTGCAAAAAAAAAATGCTGATTCATTGCTATGTAAGTGATGAATGACTGATTTGATTATAGAAAAAGTTGATTTTCTGTGATATTTTACAATTGTTAGATAAAAAGTGATTTATTTTTGTTAAAAATTTACCTGACATAGTTGTTATGAGATAGGTAGACGTGAATAATTACGTACCTATCTAATAATAACTATGTCAGATAAATTTCAATATAAATTAAGAGGTATTTTTTTGAGATATTTTGTAATTTTTAGATTGTAAGTAAATTCTTCCTGTTTGATGTTTTTGCAAAAAAAAAAATATTATACAGGTATAGAGAGGAACTAAAATTATATTAAAGTTGATTATTTAAGTGATATTTTATCATTGAACAAGACGTTTGCTAACAAAATTTGATTTTTTTGGAGTTATCTGTTTTTTTTTTTACATACAAAGCATTTTTACTGACTGTACCTTATATCTTCGAACTTGTTTTGGTATTAGTTTAAACAATGGTATCGGTTCGGAATAGAAAAAAAATATGAATTGAAACAAATACCAGTGGTATTAGTTTTTGGTATTAGCATGGAATAAATCGTATTTATAATACATCTGTACCACTACCAACTCCGTAGAGTTGCGAACACACACATGCCAACTGTCAAACACATTGACATAATACATAATTATGTTCAATAATAATAATAATTGTAAAAGAAAATATTTTACATAGAAGAGAGACACTGAAACAATGAGAGAAACAAATAGATCAGACATTCAAAGCGAATGATAGTATGAATGTTCGATAAATCGTTCATTCGTTTCAAAATATCACTAATGATAGTTAAAAAATCGATTTTGATTATGATAACATCGAGGGGCACAACAATATGTCATTCACAGATCTTGGCTACACAGACCGAACATAACATAACGGTGGTTCGACAAACGAAATAATGTATCTTAATTAGACTGGACTATCGAATCTGTCAAACAAATCGATTTGATAGTTAGTAGTGTTAGGGTTGCAATCGAATGAATTTAATGATAAATAAAAGCCAAAGCCACGCCTAATTCGTCGTAGTACAATACCATTTGTTTGCACGTTTCCTCAGACATTCTCTGCGAACCAAGTAAAATAAACCGATATACAAAAATATATTCTTTGTATCTGTGAATGTGCAGTGTGTAGTTAGAAGTATATCATCGTGACTGTTAGCATCAAAGCTACCCGTAAGCAGAACATATACCTATCCGTGGCTAGAATGTAGAATTTCTTTTTCAAAAAATTGTACTATCAATCCTTTTCTCAATTTAATTAACAAATCAATAAATAAATAAATATAGCCTTTCTTGTATATATATATAAGGTCAAAAGGCTGTATAAAAGTAGAATACATAAAATAATAATAATATCATATAAGATATTAGTATATTATTAAATATATTTCAATATAAATAATAAAAACTCCTCATTGAACTTCGTTTACCATTCCCAAGCATTGTAAAATAAAGCTCCCTATAAAGACCTGTCAAAAAATGTAGGGTAAATGTCACTGTATATGTCTTAGTAGGGTAAAGTACTCACTTCGCGGATTGTAAGAGTATGTGACATCATTTGAATGTTGACTTGTGATTGGCTGGTGGGAAGGTTGTCCGATGACCGGGAGCGGACGAGGCGGGATCCGGTGATAACTTGTTTGGACTTGAGCGTCATTTCTGTCTTGATGAACACCCGGGATATGTACTGTGAACTGTGGAAGATGATCATTAGTAAAGTCAATATTTTGAACATGTTTTATGACAAAGAAAAACTGATTTAGAAGTGTTTTTCAGTCATTATGTAGTTTCTGCTAGTTACAGATATTATATTTTGGCTACTACAATCATTACCATCAGAATTAGCATAAAGAGGTTCGTCTAAAAATCTTATTGTTACCGACGTAAGTGGATAAAATAAACATTTTAATTTTATAGCGCTGGTGGTCGTCAAAAAAGAAAGCATCAAAATAAAAAAGCCTAGATTACACAAATAAAAAATGTACCCGTATATTTCAACAGACATTATTTACTACATAAAACGTACAGCCACATTTTATTACAGAAACCCTAATCTAGATTTATAGCTAAAGCCTTCACCTGTAATAACATTCTATACTAAATCCTTATTTAGCTGAATTAAACTGAAATCTGCTTCATTAGATCGAATCATGAGAGGGAGGGGGGAACTTACAAGTGTACCTACCGACCGTCAGATTATTGACTTCGATACCAGGAAATCGAGACAAATATTGAGACCGTTTTAAAATTCACGGTACACATTAGCCTGGATCATAAAGAGGTCAAAATGCAAGTCTAGCTAATCAGTACATAGTATAAAACAAAGTCGCTATTCGCCGTCTGTCTGTCCCTATGTATGCTTAGATGTTTCAAACTGCGCAACGGATTTTGATGCGGTTTTTTAGTAGATAGAGTGATTCTTAAGGAAGGTTTATATGTATAATACATGCATAATATAGTAGAGAAACACTGATAAATTTAAAAGTTTCTAATGTGATGTCGTAAATTATAGAGGTATAAGCATTGCACCCGATTACACACTATACACTATTTACATCTACCTACTCCATTTAAGCAAAATAGGTCTAATATACGACTAACCAGAGAACAAAGCAAGCCTAAATAATCTTAAACGACTACATCAAACAATCCCTTGATTACCATTACCATATAAAATCTAATAAAGGCCCAGCGTTCGCGATTTATCTCATTTCCATACGCTGATTGAGACGGAATTAATTATGCATTCGTATCACACGTAGACTAGACGGTAATGAACCGAATTTCGTGTAAAGTAACTTCGTAAGAAAACTTGATAAAGTATGTATGTACGTATAATGATGTCATTTACGTAACTTGTCATGTTTATATTTCATTTTGGTTAGATTCAATTTGTGCGGAATAAGAATTTTCGTTAAATATTTGTATGCTTCGTAATTTATGAGTTTTTGTAAAGTTTCTATTTGTCAGATTTCATTTGATGAAAGCTTCATTAGTTGAAATGAGGAATAAAGTTTTTGATTACATTTTTTGAGGGAATATTTTCCGCGAATTTTTATTGCTTCTTGTCTGTTTATTAAATACCTAGCTTCTGCCCGCGACTTCGTTTCGCAATCCCGTTTTCTCCCGTTCCCATAAGATTTTCAGGAATTTTTTTCTATCATAAGAATTTTCTGACAATAACGAACACGACAAAAAAAAAATCAGCCAAATCGGTCCAGCCATTCTTAAGTTATGGCGTGACAACGGGAAACGGGTTTCCTTTTTTTTATATACTTATATAGATAATACTAGTCATCCAATAAGTTCACAAATCACTGACGAAAACATTAAAATCAATACAGTCGTTTTTGAGTTTATATCGATGAGACAATCTGACTAGAGATACTGACCGGGTAGATTATTTCGTATAATGATTTCTTAACTCGTCGAGTACCGTCATTATAGACACAATTATAGAACAATAGGTTGCGGTCACCGGTGACCGCTTGGTGTTTGACAGTTTAAAAGAGCATATATTGAATTTCTTCATACCTAGTTTTACTAACACACTTATTTTGACTTATAATATGTATAACTTTAATACCTTAACGCCCTTATGCTGAAGGCGGTCCGGAGTAGTTTAGTAGGCGATGCGGGCATATTCCTGCAGAACTTGTCAATGGCATGGTCGACGCCATTCTTCGTGGCTTCAGCGTACCAGTCGGAGCTCTGGTTCGAAGCATGCTTGTTGAATAGGATGAGGATCGCTAGCGCCACCCTGTAGAATACCTGTTGATAAAGATAAAAATATTTAGATGTCTCTCTCTCACTCGACTTGAGTGACATAGAAAACAGACTTAAAACAACAACAAACAACTTTCGTCATGAAAATGGTTGCCGGAGCATGGGAGCGGCACCAATTCCTTACCATCAGGTAATACGTCTGCTCTTAAATAAATAGCACTAATTCTCCCTCACTTTAAATTAATGTGTTTTTGGCTTACTTACGTAATTATTCGACGAGGAACTCGATTTGTTTCAAGCCGTGCTAGTAGCATTTAGTAGTATTTAAAAAAAAAAACGTAGCCCCACACTAGGATTTTCTCCAGTGTCGTGGATGCGTTTACAAACATACAATATCACATACACATGACACCAAGACCCGGAACAACAATCTGTGGATCACACTAAGAGTTGTTCCGTGAAGGAATCGAACCCGCGACACGTTGCGCGGCAGCCAGTTGCCCAGCCACCGCGCCAACCGTGCAGTCATAATTTAGTATGTGTCACGAATAAAGCGAAGCTATAATATAAATACATTTACTTTTACAAATGAAAATTATTTCATCCATCTTTTTTCAAAGGACTGCTGATTATCCTACTTAAATATTATTCGTCTAACTTCGGTACCCTGACCCTAAACTCGCCCAAAACAACATAATCCTATTCCACGAGTAAAAGCAAACATTAAAACTCGGGCCGTACATCGCTTCGTTTCAAATTGCTCTTTGGCGAAACCATTTTCAGTTCAGCGAATTAGAAATAAGCGATTACAGATGAAATGCTTTATTAAAATCTCTCTTAGATTTAAATGTACTCACGTAGAAATAAATTTAATTATACTATTTTAATTACTTGAAACGTTTACGGAAGGATACGTCTATGAGCAGGAATCTTATTAAAATTATACTGAAGTATTTCTTCCTTGGTGAGTTTATTTTCTGTTGAGACTTTCTATTACACGGATGGGATGGAACATTGCGCCCGTTTCCTCAGGAGAATGGTAGCAGAAAATTAACACATAATGAGCGTATTGCTACACGAACAACGTTTAAACTTTTGTATGTCTTTTCCTTTAATTACATTTTTCGTATTCTATCCCAGACTCCGTGTTATTACAAAGAATAACCGCATAATATTTTGCTAAAACCTACATTTAGCTATTTTGATGATTAGTGACCCGCGCGCCCCATGGACCCGGAAAATGTCAAGTGCGTTGTTGGTCTTATAAAAATCAGTCCATACGCGCTTTTCTTGAGCGCATGAAGGTCATATTCTAAAAAGAACAAAACAAAAAAACCTCGTCTATCTAGACGGCTAAGTTGGAGTCCTCACCTTGATCCCCTCATGGAAGAAGCAGTCGAGCACCCTCACGAGGTGGGGGAAGGGCAGCGCGGCGAGGATCCACCACTGCCAGTCAGCGTAGATCCGTTCAGGACCGATCGCGCCAGACAGCCGCGACAGGTGCTGCGCCGCCGACTTCTGCAAACAATCACAAACACTGTACGGAAACTGTATTTTAAGGAAGATGATAGGAATGGAGTAAGGTGAGTTGGATGATATGAGAGTGATGCTGGAAGAAGAAAACAAAGACTTCAGTAGAATGACTGACACAATATGTGTCTATTTGTTTAAAAACAGACAAAAGGATTATCTTGTTAAGTTAACATGACAAAATAAGCCCGATCCAGATGAATTTAAATTCACACGTATGTTACAGCCTTATAAGTATCATTAACAAAAGAAAATGTAGAGAGAAATTGGGCATAATTCCATTAAAGAAAATGTAGCTACATTATTATGAAATAATACGATAGAAACGAGGATAATATGATAAATATTATCGCCATTGGTTATTGTTACAGCAATCCTAATCATATTTAACGCACAAAGGATAATTTAATAATAATCCCGGCGGATTTTCCACACTGAGCGCCTCGTGGAAAATGTATCCACGTTCCAATTTCCTCCGCCCCTAATATATCTTTATTATATCTTAATATCGAAGTAAAATATGATTTGAGTTTCTTTATTTATATTTTATACAATAGTATATCAGTTACGATATCGATAAACAAATATGGAAATCGATAAGTTGCACCTCCCTATTTGGTTGCATGAAGAAAACTTGCCTTACCTATAGGGTTGATTGCACTCAATGACAACACACAACCTATTTATGGCCAATGAGTCAGAAGTCAGAACCCTGATGCAATCACTGACACAAATATCGACTTATTAACATTTACGTTTATCGAAATAAATCGATTAAAGTTCAAGTGAACGATCGATTTTTCCCTCGATGGTCGTTGCCCCCAATGTTTATTATTCATAGTCGATAAATAGTGGTGTGGCTCGTGATATCGTTATCGATAGTTTATTGTTAGATCACGTCTCGCTTTGATCACACGTGATGCGCGAAATAGACGCGATAATTGTTCGATTACATAATAAAGTCGTTTAGCGAGTCGTGTTGGTACGTTTTAATTTTATGTTAGTCGAGTTCTTTATTGATTATGTTATTAAAATGTGATTAATTTATATTTATATGGGTTATCAAAACTTGAGAATTGTCATAAAAATAATTATAACTCACATAAACATTGATTTTATTGAAATCCTACCAAAATATAAGATTACATGTAAGCTTTTTAACTTTTTGATTGATGTGGTTAGTAAGGAAGATTGGTCCCTCTTTTAGCAGAAATTCAGAAGCAATCAACGAACTCGATTTAAATTATTCTCTTTGAAGTAATTTTCGCGTTTGTCAGCTGTAGGTGACCGCGTTTTAGAGGATGGCTTTTGACATAGGAAAACTACTCTTGACCTGTGCTGACAATTCTGAAGTAGAAACTACTTCTACATTCAACGAGGTCTTGAAGCTTCTAGAGAAGACAAGTATGAGGTTCCCAATACAGAAACTTATCTAAGACAAAATTGGTCCATTAGAGACTTGAGGGTGATCTTCGAATCCAGATAAGAAATCTTGGGTTTTTCGGTAACTCCACCACGTCCGGATTTATGGCATATATTTGACGATAGGCATATCTTCAATCACAGAGCATCTAATAAGTAATAACATATCGTACCCAAAAAAAAACCCAAGTACCGTTGGTTTATCACTTCATTTTCTTTTAGGGAAAAACCAAATATGAAGATTTATGAGCATTTGCTAAATAAAAGAGTTGGTGTAGTCATTTAAGAATCATAAATCAATTAGTCAACATACACAATTGCTATTTGCTGTATGTAGTTATTATAAAAACTATACAGGATTTTTTTGGTCAGTCATAAATATCACAGCCCGCTACTGACTACCGGATTCTTCTTCAAAAGGAGGGTTTGCCACGCGCAGGTAATTGGGCCTCCGGTATTCACACTCACACAACGCAAGGGTCGCTTCACGTCGTTGTTCTGAGGCCTTAGTATATAATCGTAACGAGTACGCGTTCGGCGCTGTGATTGGTTGGTTTATTGGCGCCGGCCAATCAGAGCGCCGAACGCGTACTCGTTTCAAATACTTTAAATGTACAACAAACTCGTACTACGGCCTCTGTAAGTCTGTGGTATCACTCCGGACGAGCCGGCCCATTCGAGTCGAAGCATGGCTCTCCGGGCTCTCCCACACTTAAAATTTGCATCAAAATACTTATAGGGGTTTATTACATAGAACTTATGTCGCCATGCCATAATATTTGCATGTTTTAAACAAAGGGAATAACTTGAGGAACCCTTGGTTGCGTGTCCTAGTACTATGGCGGTTTTAGTCGATAGCACCACTTCTGAAGTTGTCACGCAATGGTGTTTTTGTAAGGGGTTGTAAACTTTGTAGGTACGATTGTGTTTTGTTGACCGGTAGATATAATAATCTAAAGCTAAGTTAGGAATTTAAGTTTATCTTTGCGTTTTTGTTCAATGGGGTATGCTGTATATGCAAGTACAATACAATGTACATAAACGGCACTCATATTAGAGTATCTCATAATACATTGGTGTTGACATTTTCAGGCAGAGGTAGGCAGAGGCACCTCTGCCATTACGGCACTTAATGCCACTGTACACACCCACTTTTCACTCACTATTTATGTTATGAGTCCCATGTAATAGGGGTGAGCTTATAGCTACTGCTGAGATTTTTTTTAAAAACCCAGGAATACTTTGCTCGACCCGTGCATCGAAACCGAGACCAAGAGTCGCTCTTGTCGCAACGAGCCTGTCAGAAAAAGGTCAGGCAGAAAAAAATCGTAACAAATATTTACTATATTTTGGAGACAATAATAGCGACATCAAATAAATTTGCAGTAGGCATATAGGTTTTTTTTAAGGGGGAAAATCATCGAATGACTGCTACCGCCTGGGTGAGGCGGGAGGGAGTGTCAGACTCTTACTGACTAAAAACCACCCCGTTCCTTCTCCTGCACGTCGAGTTGGAGCCCCGGTTACCCGTTTGGTTCTCCGCGATAGGCATATGGGGTAGCTATTTCAGTACTAACAGTATGTCAAAAAGCCTGCAGTAACTAAGTATATTTTATTTTTACTTAAGGCACTTAAAAGAATTTTATTAGTTATTTTTGTAAACAATGTACATTATTCCTCCCTAACTACGCAGTTACGTAAACTATGTAAAGGCTCCAAGCAACCATTTAAAAGTTTGATTTGTTAACTTGGTTGTAGTGTGGCCGAACGAAACAGGCACGCAACGCCCTTAGCCGATATTTAAATGAAATGAAAATTAATAAATAAAACTTATAAACTTAGTTTTTTTTTAGAGAAGTTTAAATTAAAAATTATTTAGCATGGAAATCAGTAACGTCGAGGTATCGGTACACTGAATTAGAACTACATATAAGGATTTATTTTAGGGACGCGCAATGGCTGAGTGATCGGCTGCTGCTAACCGTACCGCTGGTTCTAATCTCGTAAGAAACGACTCTTTGTATGATCCAAAAGCTGTTTCGAGTCTGTATATGATGAGTATGTTTGTAAACACACCCACGCCACGACACAGGACAACATTTTATTTATGTACCACGCTAATAATAACAATGAAAAGGTTTCAACTTAACCAAAGAAAACCAATATTTTATGTACACAAACAACCTGATTACATAATATGTATTATGCAATGCGTAATAATAAGTCAATAAATTAAACGTGTAGGTCAAGATACTCAATTTTAATGTGTCAACAGCAGCTTTGTTATATTAACAAGGTGTGCAAGGAGTAACGCCCTGTATTATCTTGGATATATGTAGGTAATTGAATTAATTAATATGTAGTTATTAACCTTAAGTTATATAGTAAATTGACACATAATAATTATTAGAAAAAGGTGGAAGAAAATTTTCAATTGGATTAGAATATTTTAAGATGTGTCTTCTAGTTTTGGGCATTTTCTTATTAACTGTTCAAAAAAGAAACTCTTGGATGCTTGATTCAGAGCACTTTGGACTTGCATGACTATGATGGAAGCAAAAAAGGACGTAAGATTCGTATAGATTCTGCGTGAGTTTATGTATGCGTAAATGTATCCTGAATGGTGCCCCGAGTTTAGTTTTGGTTTAGTGGTGGAAAGACAAAAAGTACTAATTCAATCATCATCATCATCATCATCGCCGATAGCCAGAAAGACGTCCACTGCTGGACAAAGGCCTCCCCCTTAATCCTCCACGTCGAACGACAACTCGCCACCTGCATCCACTGGTTGCCCAGAACTCTGGTGTCGCATGTCGTCGGTTCACCTCGGGAGGCCTATCCACGCTTCGTCTTCTGGTCTGTGGTCTGCACACAATGACTTTCCTGGCCCATCTGTCGTCAGTCTGTCGAGCGAGGTGACCTGCCCGTTGCCACTTCAGTCTGCAGATTTCCTATGTCGATAACTCTAGTACTTGGGCGATTTCTCATATTTTGGATTTTATCGCGCAAAGAAACCCCGAGCATTCTGTCCATCGTGCGCTGAACGACTTTGAGCTTCGAATTAAATACCTCAGTCTATTTTGCCCTACATACTCGTTTTGATACAGATATTATTTCAGTAAAAACAAGCAGGTACCTAGTAACCTATAATAAGAGTCAATTTCTCACATCAGCAGATCAGGCAGGAGTTCAGTCACGCGATAAATTGCCGCATCATTGATTATACGGGGATCAGGTTGACCGGACTAATAGTCCAGTGACCAGGGATAGTTTTGTAATAGTCAGCAAGATTTATCTTATCATGTTCCAAAGAAAAATGCGCGTTTTATTTTACGAAATGGAATAGAAACTCTTGTGTTAAAGATAGGGATGATTGGGATGTATCAGTATTACACCACATTAGAACAATAAGCAATGGCTTTAAACGTATTACTATAATTTTCAAAAAACAATAGGCGAGTGCAATATTCTGCGCTTAGTTTCCAATACACTACAAATATTTCGATACGATGCTAGATTCTCAGCGCTAGGACAAATAAACCAAAGAGTTAAACAACCAATCGCAATATGCTGACTATCTCAAATCTGAAGATAAAAGCATAAAGGATAAGTTCATGAGTTTACACTTCAAGCCCAGCCTCCAAGCAGACAGACATTAATTGCATCTAGATCGTAATACAACAGACAATATAATACCTAAACATGATATACGCGTAACCATACAGACACGGGCCGTCATCTCCTAGCATTATCAGCTAGACGCAGCCATATCAATCTTGTCAAAACATGTCCGTTCGCGCCTGAATGACAGGAGATATGTTCCCTTTCAGTGGTAAACTTGCTAAGATAGGTAATATAGGTATTTGAAACTTACTATAGAGCATTAACTCGTCGAGTACCGGTTTTGTAGACACAATTATAGAACAATAGGTTGCGGTCACCGGTGACCACTTGGTGTTTGACAGTATAAGAAGGGCAGTTGTGTGAGTAATGATATGAAAGAAAGAGAGAATGATTGAAATAATGACGTTCGATAGGTGAGAAAAGAAAATGAAAACATGTCACGCTGATGATACAAAAACGGGCTGAATGAGATGGAGAAGATACTTAGTATTAAAGAAGGAAAAAGATCACGATGGAACTATCCTTCCAACAGGATGACCGAATCAAATTAAAGATCTTACGGGTCTCTAAGTTAATACTGTTCTCATTGATTAAAAATCATTAAGACTATGTATGCTAAAGACAAAGATCTTAGAAAAAAAGGAGGCGGTTTGAAAATCATGAGGAATGCGTATGCATTTGATACAGATTTTAACACAAATTCCAAAAAATATCTGAAATTTAAACTTACGGCATGTTTCTTAGCGATCTGCATAACAGTCTTCCATGTAACTTCGTTGAGTAGTTTCGTTTGTGTGATGAACATCTTTTCCTTGGACGCCACCAAGCTCGCCATGCAGTGGTAGCATTCTTCCTCTGTGGACAAACAAATATAGAAAATTAAGATCTTTCATTATTCATCTAGTGTAAGTGAGTACCTAAATTCATTTTGCTATATTTTACTAAAACTTGACATTGAACCGAGTCATTTGTCCCATAATGGAACAAATGGAGTCTCCATTGTCTAAAACAAACGTAGGTATCATTTAAAGGCGAAAATTTTTAAAATTAAAAAAAACTATAATAGATAACCAAACTTATTCCTCCCGTGAATTCAGGATGCATAATTTTTTAACTGAATTTATAGTCTACTACTATTTATGCGCTATAGGCAATTAACGTATAGTGTTGAACAATATACATGTTGTAGTATTTTGGCCGTCCTGCCAAATGGTTGGTTGTTACGAATCTAAAAGCAGTTATGGGTTTCAGTTATAGCTGCACAGCTTAGTTTGATTGTGTCATGACTATTTCGGATATTACCAGCTACCTATGGAAGAGTTTAAGGAAAGGGTAACAGCTGCTTGATTTCTTTATTATCTGTATCAAATTTCAGATTTCATCTATCATTGTGATTACCTGAATAGAATTACATTGTGGATTTATTTAATTCATCCCTCTATACCTCTAATTCTATACGAGTTATTGAAGAAACCCATACCTTATTTATACTTCTAATCCCATTAAACAACAACAACACAAATGACAATCATACTGCACATATTGTGACAGAATATAAAAATGATACATTTAGTAACATTGTAGGCAGTAAGTCCGTCAGTCAGTCGGTCGATGACCTGTCGCCTCGTCATGACACACTTTCAGCTCAGGTGATTCCAAATACCATAAAGATAACATTCACACTGTGAATGATTCTGTAAAGATTGTAAAAATGTCGCCTAATGTGATTAACGATGTCAAAGATTCAGGTTTCTTGGTTTTTAATTTAGGTCTTCACATGACAACTGCTATAAGACCATAGAGGTATGATCAACTAATAATCACGAGTTTCTCACGTAAATGTATTGAGAAAAGCTCTACTAGTTTCGAGTCACAGACGGACTCTTCCTCATGGGCAGCGTGCGCAGTCGAGCGACGTCGCGCAGCCTACTCCATGATAATCCATGTGATCAGTTTCTGACTCAAAAATAACCCTAATTGGCTGAACCATGGAACGTTCGTGATATGTCGAAGGTATGTCTATAATGAAGTTTAATCACTATAGCCTTAATAGGCAATACCTAAATACCTATAGTTCACTTCTAGACACGCAACTGTAAAACTTGAACACTAGGTTTTGGATTATTAAATTCAGTGACGCCATCGATGTATATATTTATAATAGGAAAGAATATATATAACGGAGTTTAAGTTCAGCGTTTAATGTATGAGTTAAATTACATTTAAGCGTAGTAATGAGCGTCCATTATACAGTCAATACATTTCAGTTCACTACTTTGTAGGAGAAAATTAAAATTTAATAATAAAATAAAAATCTCATCGTATAAATTGTCGTTTTATAATTGCTGCGTCACAGACCGCAAGCAATGAAACTCGATTAACACTGGCTGTTGGAGCAAAATGAAAATAAAATAGAGCTGTGTGGTCCGGACTGCGGACCAATCCCATTGGATCGTGAACACGGTTTGAACTAGTGATGTTTGTTCCCGGGAACGTACGGTGTAATAAATACAATTTTGTGAGTCAATATTTTGTTTTAGTCCGTGTGGGAAATAATGGTTCGGGGATAATATAATGAAAATTGATTGGTGAAATGATGAAGATTTAAGTATTGAGGTGTTGGAAAATGGATGGTGTGGGAGAGCCACGACCAGTAAGGCTATGATTAACAATAATGATTTCTTAAAGACTACATTACCTTAAAACATGTTTGGTTCCATTAGGCACTTGAATGACTATCAACTATAACATTTGTCATATGCTACAGAAATAATATCAACTTGATAAATAATATTATTACAGCATCAGTGCAAGATAATCACATTTACCCTAACCTAAACCAATTTTTTCGAACTCAAACGCTCCAATTCCTGTGAGCAATTTATCCATGTCTGACCCACATACTCTTAACTTTATCAAGAGGCCGGGAATTGGCGGGACACGGGACACGGGACGTCCTGCGATTTCTCCCTCACTAGAGCACTTGTACATGACAAATTGGAGTGAGACGTCCAATTTGCAATCGACGCTCCCGGTATATTTGAGAACCCTAGAGAGTTGGATCGGTTTCCAATAACTGAGATATACATTGAATTTCTAGTATACATGTATCTTATTCAAGTTATGTATTGGGAATGGAAATTGGAAACGTTGTGGTGCAACACTGTAATAGACTTTCTGTATTATGGGGCCCAATAGGGCTGATGCCGATACGGAGCCGCAGAGTACCTAACGGGTTACCGGGGCTCTGTCTCGAAGTGCAGGAGTAGGAACAGGGTGGTTTTTAGTCAGTAATAGTCTGACACTTCCTCCCCCTTCACCCAGGCGGGAGAAGTCATTCGATGATTTTTCCCCCTTAAAAAACACATGGTAACTTAAAATAGATAAAACTGTGATAGTGGATGAATTATGAGGAAATGGATCCTACGTTATATTTTCAGCTTTACTTCACGTAACTGTTTGATGAAGAACTCATTAGCAGTTTTGCGCAAAACATGTAGCCACTAAATGAATCCTAACTTTAATAATTTCGAAAACAAATCTAATAGAATCGTTCTCCAATATTTCAAATTAGGCAGATTAAGTTGTAAAAGCTAAAACAAATGGGTCTAAACGTGAGACTAATGTAAATCACTCGACTAACGACCGCGCGTATAATTAATAGTCAGTCCCAAACGGCACAATACTTATTGAGATGAAAACGCTATAGACGATTTAGATTTTAAATAAAGAGGTTTAAGGTTTGAAATGGAATATTTAATTACGTTTTGTTTGTGAATTATTCCCATTAATTTAGGTCAAAGGGTCTATTTGAATGAGAGAGGCAAAAAAGAATAAGATAGTATCTAGTGCTTTAGTTTCGTAGAATAATTTGAATATTAATGATCACGTCTAGTAGTAGTGATAAATTATGTAGATAGATATCATTATTCATGACACTAGAAGCGGGCGAGAATCTCATGATTTCTACAACAAAATGAATTCGAAGAAACTTATTTAACGATTTTAGTAAGCCTAAATTATAGTACCCATTTAGTCCAAACTAAATGCTACCAAAATATGTATGCGAGTCAAAATTTTAGGGTAAATTGCATCCAAAGTAAGTTGCAACTATGTGTAATGTAATAGCAAAGTGAGAGGGTGATCTTAAGCACATTATTCATTCACTTCAAATCGGATAGAAAACAGTTGCAGCTTGGCTTTCCAAGCACAATCTAAAAGCAACTTCCATCAGATAAACATAAAGCTGAGTCTACAATAGCATCGTAGGAGAGTGGTCCTGTCCTACTGCAACACAATCTGTATTATGCTCTAAAGCACGTGTCAACCACAGGTCTTCCGTAACATCGCTGCGGTCGACTAATTAATTTAATTAACACGGTGAAAGACTATGGCGTGTGATGATATACGTTGTATATCAGCATCATGGTTTGATCATGGGTGTTATCATTAACTTTCCAATTGAATACTTAATTGTGGTAACTGTATGTTGGGTTATAACATAACATCACACCTTTTTATCCCCGAAGGGTTGGCAGAGGTTCTTATTACTTAATGGCACTGTACAATGTAACACCCAATTTTCATTATTTCTGTTATGAGTCCAATGTAATAGGGGGTATATGGCATATAAGCTCCTATTGTCATATACCGGGCACAATTCCAGACTCCGTGCTACTACTGAGATTAAAAAAAATACTAGTAATACTTTGCCCGACCCAGGAATCGAATCCAAGACCTTGCACGGCAGTCGCACTAGCGACCCCTCGGCATTAATTTTGTATGTTTCACGATAGTTATTATACATAGGGCACAAAAAGGACCATGAAAAACCAAAACCACGTCTCTTAGCACCAATTACTAATCCTATACTTAAAACAAGTCAGAATATGGGACAATTACTTAGACAACATAAGAAAGCTTTTAATACGAAACCGAGTAACACAATTAGAGATCCAAGGGACGTCAGAACCTTAAGTGGGCCGTGCTCAAGGATAAATGCATTAACCGAGGTGCTGGTAAAAGGGAATGAAATTGTGTTATGATGAAAGGCAAGCCATCGGTGTCTTGGGAATGTATATAAGATATAGGTATTGATATTATTGAGTGTTGTGTGTTATCGTATATGCATGGTGTATTTAGGGAACAGAGAGTAATGTTCCCGTAAGAAAAGGTGGATCCGCCGACCAGGCGAGGTGTTCGTGCCTCACGGGTGCTCTGCCCAACAGTTGTTCGTTGAGATTTTCTATCCATGTTAATTCGCATGTAAACCTCACATGTGCGATGTAGGCTTTGTGTCTCTGTCGATTTACTCGCCAAACGCATATGTGCGACTTCTGTGATCTGTCATTTGTCTTGTTAAGCTACTTGCGCAAAGATAAGTAAGAATTCATCATCATCATCATGAGCCTATAAGTGGCCACTGCTGACCAAAGCCTCTTCTCTCACGGTTAAGGTTTGAGCATTAATCACCACGCTTGCTCATTGCGGGTTGGCGATTTCCTCACGATGTTTTCCTTTACCGTTTATCAGTGGTGTCTAAATAATCTTAAGTAAGAATTGAATGTATAAAATCGATTAATTCTTATTAATAAAAGATTGTGTATAAAAATTTAATAGGTTGGAGAGGAATTCAAGTATTTCAAGTAACTCAGGATAAATGAGCATTAATGAGGACAACAAGTTACTGGACATTTTGATTGAAACTTATTACAAAATGGAGATAAAATCAATGCCATTGAGAAAGAAACGCCACCATGTTATTTTTGTAACAATTTTAAAATCTAAATGTATAAAAATGAATCCCTTTTCACTAATTAATTTTTGTTGTATTTATTATTATCAGGAGAAGGTACTAAAGACAGAAAAATATCTGAAAATCCTACGGGAACGGGAGAAAACGGGATTGCGCGTACGAATTCGCGGGCAGACGCTAGTACAATATAATTACTTATCAAGTATAATGTGTAAGTATTATTATATAAAATATCTCAACAGAAGAAGACATCGGCAAGTCGTAAAAGTTATATTTTATCTGCTATTGTTTAAGAAACACTTTCCATTACAATAGAAGATTGTTAGGTTTAATTAGTCACTTTAATTTAATTAGCACTTTGTTTAACCATTGAGTGAATGATTTTAGTAAGTAATTGAGCACGTGGAATGAAATACATATCATTAACCACAATAGGGATTTGCTCATAGTTTTACTCGAAGAGTCTTATGCCCGAATACTGATACATTGAAACGAAACCTATCAACGGCAAGTACCAATGTGACTTTTTCCGAGATGTGCTTTCTAAGATTATTTAGACTCCACTGACAAACGGTGAAGGAAAACATCGTGAGGAAACCTGGTCTTATAATTTCTAATTATTAGTTTGAAATCGCCAACCCGCATTGAGCAAGCGTGGTTAATCAATGCTCAAACCTTCTCCGTGTGAGAAGAGGCTTTGCTTAGCAGTGGGCATTTATAGGCTGTTGATGACTTAATTATAAGTCGCGCTTAAGTGTATAATAATTCTATTCTAGTATAAATGTAAAATGACAGATATGACACAACTTAAAATTGTGTAGCCCTTCAGTAATCGATCGGTAGTGAGATATTACAGACACCACAAGCTTCCTCAAG